TATCAGAAATAGTGTATGTCTGACAAATGAGTTAAAACTACGTCATTTTGTTTTTGTTCCAAAACTTAATTAACTGAGTAGATATATGAAAGATGAGATAGAAATACAAACTCTTATAATATAGATAGTCTTTATTTGTATTTAATTACTGAAGTAAACAAAATATAAAAATACTTATAGAAATTATTTTTTTCTAACAGCTAATTCATTTTTCTTACCATTTAAAAATACAACACTGTATAATACTTCAGAAACAAAAGATTTACATAAAAGAATAAAAATAGAAAGTATTAATAAGATATAGAGCATCATAAAAAAATTAATATTAAACTTATATATACAGAGTTGTCAGATCTTCCGGATTTTCAGGAAAATTTCCGGATTTCTCGAAGAACTTTCGGATTTTGAAAGTTTTTCGAAATTTTTCCGGTTTTTTGCATATTTTTAAAAAGCAATATATTATTTATAATATGTAAATGTGTAGCTTATCGTTTATTATTTGTGAGATTATCTATATTTTGACATATTTTTCATTGAAATATATTTTAATACTTTTGTTGAAAAACCGAGCTTTAATGAATTAAAATGATCGATAAATATCTTTTCGGATTTTCAAGTGTAGCATCTGGCAACACTGGTATTATATATAATACAAGATAACTAATTATTTGAGACTAAATATGTCAAATATCGTAAGAACAAATGATTATTATTTACTTTTTTGTTACATGAATAATTTTGTCATTAATTTTTAATGAATTCATCAATAACTTTTCTTCATTGTTTTCAGACTGTCTAAGTATAAAATGATGAAGAGTACAATCATACCTTGGATTGATTCTATTCCATATAGTTCATAAGATATAATTTTTGATAATTGGCAACAATAAAAACCTAATAAGAATCTTATTGTTTTTTAATAGTTATTATAATTATTATTTTTTAAATCTTTTACAATAATTTGATCCTTAAATAATTTTACAATTGCATTTTATAGTTCGATTTTGTTTTTTTCCATGATGATTATGACTCATACTAATGATATGCAATCTTTACTAATGAATGTAGGAAGAGTATATAAACCGACACATGCTATAATAATCTACTCCGTTAGTCATATAAATTAACACAAGTTTACAGAGATTATGACAAAATTTGTTACTATAATTAACAAAGTAAAACAACTGTATAAGTATAAATGTGCTTTGAGTAGGTCAGTCCAGATGTTAAATTTATCTTTATACATTCTTATTTACTTTATTATAAATACAAAATCATCTAGAAGTTGTTCGTATTAAGGAATAAATTAAAAGATTGATGGTATATATCTCTTAACACACTTGTAATGTAGAATCTAGAATTTTTAACATAATCTCGATCGTCTTTGCAAAATCCAAGCAGTTTTCTTCTATCAAATCATTTTATTAAAATTTATATCTTTTAGTTTTTTATTTAAAAAATCAAAAATTTATTTATCTGTATAATACTTTTGAATATCCATGTGAATTTATAATTCACTTTGAATCAACTCTGATTTATTATTCATTAAAAATCAAATTTAGATTTTTATATTAAAAAATAAACCAATATATGTACGCCATCTTTCATAAAAATTGAAAACGATGATCTCTTCGATTTGACATACCTTACAGCCAGTATTATAACATTATTAAGCTTTTTAAATTTGATCTCCTACAACAACCATATTATTCAATAGGATTATCATTTATATGATCAATGGCTTCATCATCGAACAATCTTGATGTAAATGAACATCATGAAGAAATTATTCGTCGTTATGTTCGTTATTCTCGTGAACAAAAAGATATTGGTTTACGATCATTTCATGCTGCAGCTGATGATTTTAAAAATCAACGATTATCAGATGAAGCAATGATGACAGTCAATGAAGTTAATGATTTTCTTAATGAATTTATTGATGTATTAGAAAAAGAATTTGAACAAGAATTAACACATCAATATCGTGTTAATGCTTTATTAATAAAACAATTATTTCAACAAGCTGAACAATGGTTTCTTAAATTAAATCCAAATTTTGATCAATTAGAAAATCGTCGTTTAATAGATCTTATTCGTGATTATGAACAACAACAATTAAATAAAACGAAATCAAAAGGAAATAAAGAAATGAGTATAAAATCATCAAACAAAAACAAAAAAATTTATGTTTTTTATTTATATTATAGATACACTTATGGATCCAATAAATGATACAAAATCAACTGTTCTTCTTAAAACTGAAATCCAAAAATTACAACAATTAAATGGACAATTAAAACAACGTTTATCAAAATATGAAAAAGATGATGAATATTTAAATCAACAATTAGAAGAAAATACACGTTCATTTAGTAATAAAGAAGCATCATTTTCTCAACAATTACAATCAAATGAAAAACGCTTAAAAGATGTTCAACAAGCACTTTCATTAGCTGAAAATGAATTAGAAAAAAAATTTAATCAAACTAATACATATATTAATATGAAAAAAATTATTGATAAAAAAAATCAACAAATACGCGAATTACGTCAACAATTAACTAGTGATAATAATGATGAACAAGACGATGAAGATTGAAAAAAAACAACATGGAAGTTTTTCACTCAATAAACTAAAGGTATATATCTTTTGATTCTACGATATTTTTTCTTCTGTCTGAACTTAATATTTACTTATGAAATATGAGGTTTCTTTCTTTTCTCTTATTTACATCGATTAGTAAAGTATATTTCATAGTTCTCAGACAATTAAGTCAATAATCAACTTCTACTTGATTGAAATTCTTTGAATTCAAAGTCTACATATTCTATTATTCGCACCTGATTTAATCTAACGATCCTTTATAGAGAAAAAAAAATACACATTTTTTTATGAATCATTTTTTTCTACAGTTACGACAAAAAAAATTGTTCCTATGCACTGCCGCAAGTGAATTATTGAACAAGTCTGTCGCTATCGCAATATGTATCCTTGTTGGTACATTGCATTTGTCAATAAATTCTTTTTTATTTGACATCATCTTTTATTTACTATGAGTTGAGTCGGTAATAAGAAAAAAAGAAAGGTTGTTTAACAGCTGTTGAAAAATTTACTTCAAACAAACGAAGAAAAACAAATAGAAGTTTTGTATTTTTTTTTCGATGAATCATAGATGTTAAAATTTATAATTATGTTTTATTTATTTAGATTTGATGATATAATAAAATATATCCGTCCGTATTCTTTTGTGTGATATTTAGTGTTTTAATCTTATTTTTGTTTTACTAATTCTTTACATGTATTCATGAAATAATGTGTTTTTTATTGTGTGATCAATTTTATTAAAATAAAAGTTAAACTTTTGGAACAGTGTTCATTGAAGTACGTCGAATACTTTCATTACCCATTCGTTTTGCATTGATCATATTATCTTGTTTATTTCTTCCTCGTTGAATAAAATCATCGAGAGATGATGATGATGAAGAACTTGGATTTTGATTCGTTGTTAGATTTGGACGTAGTTTATTATTTTCAGCACGTTGATTCCATTTAGCGTGTGAGATCATTTTACGTTCAAGTGCATCAAAATCTTTTTCATGTTTTACTTCTTGTTTTGCAGCTAATTTTTTTCGATCATAATCGCGTGATGTTGCTGTATAGATAGTACTTTCAGATCGTGTTTCTTTGGCAATAGATTTAGTTGATACTGAAAATGCCATCTAAAATAAGAAACTAAAATATTTTTTAAAAGAAACATAATCATGTCAATTGAAGTCAAAGAAAATGGTTCCTTTTTTTAACTTCCAGTTGTTATTCTGAATTTATTATGCCATTTATAGTCGTTGTTATATAGGGAAGCCTTCGTTAAACTAACATGTATAAAAGACATACAGAAACCGAAAAAAGAGAACAATTCTCCCCTCTTTAGTGATCGTTTGCATGAGGGTAACCTATGTCGGTGATGTAAAAAGAGAGAGAAGAAAGTAGAATTTTTTTTCTTATTGACGTTTGTTTTAACTAGAATGTAAAGGCGTAAAGTGGCATAATTACCTTCCTCTTTGTTCACACTTCTACGTCAGCAGTAGAGAAAGTACTTTGCTCCTACATCGCAGACAGATTTAATGTCACTCCGTCATTAAACCTTGATCGATTATATTATATTTAAAAAGGAATTTTTTTTTCTTTTACATCAAGTACCTTTTTCTTGTCTGCTAATATGCTTAAAGATAAAAAATATCTAATAGAAGTAGAAGAAAGATGTTGATTATAAATAAAATATGATGATATATTTTTATTTTAAAGAAGAAAAAAAGAATTCTATCAAATAGATTTTATAATGCGAATGAGTATAGTTTTATAAAAAGAAAAATGAAATTTTTAATTGTGCAAAGTAAAATATTTGCTAGACGTAAAAGAGCAAAGTGTCAAAGAAATCCTTGAAATAAATAGATTTTGTTTAATAGATCGGAAGTAAAATATATTTTACTTTATTCATTGAATTAGAAAACAAATGGAAAGTCAAGTTTGTTTCAATGAAAATTACGTATCACATTTTAAAATATCTTTTTATTCTATGTATGATTTTGTATCTAATTTGAGATTAAAAATAGGATGACAAACATGAAAGCACAATAATGTGGGTTCTATGGTGTAGCGGTTAGCACTTTGGACTTTGAATCCAGCGACCCCAGTTCAAATCTGGGTAGAACCTGATAATTCTTTTTTACAAAATATGTTAATTGTTTGAAAGAGGTTTTTTTCAAATCTCTAATTATCATATCTGTAACATATTTCAATCTAAACAGAAGAATATTTAAAACTATCTATGAGCAATTAAATCTAGTAGCTATTAATAATTGATTACATGAGATTTAAATATCAACAATGCCGACTCGGATTTAAAACAAGCTTTTTTTAGTATTTTTTTCAATCTCAATAAGAAAAATTGCGAAGAACAAGAAAAATGGTCTATAGTGTGGTTCTATGGTGTAGCGGTTAGCACTTTGGACTTTGAATCCAGC